CAAATTTCTCTTTAGATCTGATCTGATTACTATCACTGCTGAGTGTCCAGTGTACCAATAACAGGGTCCACCATGAATTCCTAGCTGGCCTCTCCTGTTGGCTGTGTAGAGAAATGTTAATTACATTGGATCTCTTTCTGAAGAGGCCACAGTTGTCTTTCCTCATTGGAAAAGATTCTTACTGTAGACATGATTTTGCCTTCCTTTGCCTTGGTTCCACTATACCATATGTGGACACATAGACTGTCTCATCTATTGCCACGGTATCACACATCACATCATATAACCAAGAAACTGATTCTACAGAAAATACAATGAGGTGGTGGGCTTACTCCATACACCATGAGTTTTACCCAGAAGCAGGTAGCATGATAGCTGGGGTCACAGTTTGGATACCAGCTGACAGACAATACCCTGGGAGTCTGGGGCCCTCACTCAGGATACACTATATGCCTGGGACCAGAAGCTAATATGTGGTGTAATGTCTCTTAAAGATGGAATACATTCGTATTAGAACCAAGGTGGAACTGGAAATGACTTCCTTACTATTACATACAACAATCGACCTATCAAAGTTTTGCATAACGTCCTTACAACTTTGAAATTGGTGAGTTGGGAAGATGCCCAGTGGAGAAATAAACACACAGAAAGTAAACACACATCAGTAAACACACAGAAATTATGGTTCACATTGGAAGCTGAGACTTCTCTAGTAATTTTGTATCCCTGTGTTGAAGAACCAATAGAAAAGATTACTTGGTGATTGATCCTCATTACCAAGTGGAAATTGGGTTGCTGCTCCATAGTGGAGTATGGGTGACTATGATTTAAAACATTTGCCTCTCATGGTCATTTTGACTTTGGGGAAGAGACAGAAGGCACACAGTGCCAGTGAATAAGGTAGATGAGGACACACCTAATGTTTTTATTTAACAGAAATTGCCATAAAGGCAATTCACCATATTGAGGCAGTCATGACAGGACAACTAAAGACTACCAGAACTGCTTTAAAAAGTGGCATGAACAATGGGACAAGTGTGTTCAAACCAAGGAGTAGTATTTTGAGAGGGATTAATGGCAATGCTCCTCTTACTTTAATTTTAAAAAAAATTTAAACACATCATATTTTTTGATCAGCCCTTGTATGTCTACATTTCAGGGGACCCCCCACATCCAGTAATAATGGTCAGTGAGAAACCATGGCAAACTAATAAAATCAGCCTTTAGTAGGAATAAAAGTTTGAATCCCTTCCACCAGTTAAAAAAACTCATGTAGACCAAGCTGCTCAGACCAAGGCCTCAGGACCAGTTACAGAAGTGAGGACTGCAACATCTCTATATTTTTTTAATTTAATTTTTAATCATCACCCCTGCCCCAGTACTGGGGATCAAACTCAGGACCTTACGCTTGCCAGGCAGGTGCCGACACCTCTGAGCTAAATCCCTGGGAGCATCTATATTTTAAGACAATTGTTCACTTCTCTCTTTTTCTGTTTATGTGAACCATTATTTATGTGAAAGCAAACACTAATGTTGTTAATTTTGTAGTCTAGCTCCAAGTGTAATTTGATTAAGTTGACATGGTACCTGAGTCACAGGGGATAGAACTGATAGGACTTTGTGTTTCCTCTGTTTTGTTTGTTTGTTTAGGGGGTTTTGTTTTAATTCTTTTCATTCAAATGAAAGAAAAGAACAACCAGGCTGGTTGTTTTCCATCTGCTGTTTCAGATCCACTCTCCACTCTTCTCTGCCCAACTCTGTGCCCTGGGACGACAACCTCTATAGACTATTGTACCTGCTCTTTGTTTCCTAGTTTGCAGATGGTTCAGCTAACAGGAGGCATCAGAAGGAGGTGAAGGAGTAGGAGAGGTTGGGGCCTTTCTTCTGCATCCTTCCCTGCAGTCCAGTGGCAGGGGCTTTCTTCCCCCACATGTGCCTGTGTTTCTTCCAGGTGGCCTCTTTTGTGGCCATGGCTCCTGCTGGGTTTGGTAACACCTCAACCTTCCCTCACCCCTTCAGGATCTGGAGTAGTGACATCTCCCAGCTGCTGTTCGACCCAGGACCTTCAATCCCTTATTGGTTCTCTCAAGCCTACCCACAGCTCTATATGTGGTCCTTTTTATTAAAGCCAGTTCTGTTAAAACCTTTTCATTCTTTAGGCAAGGATTGAATTTATTTATTTATTTATTTATTTTTGGTACTGGGGATCGAACTTGGGTTCTTGCACTTGCGAGGCAGACGCCCGAACCACTGAGCCAAATCCCCGGCCCTGAATTTATTTTTAAAGTACTTATTATTGCAGTATAAATATTCAGTAAATGCACATATTTCAAGTGTACAGGTTGGTGAGTTCTGGGAAATGTACCCACTCATGTGAGCACCATCTCCATCATGACATAGGACATTCTGATCACTGGAGAAGTTCTGTTGTCTTCTCATTCTCTCAAGGGCAACCACTGTGTCGATTGTTCTCACACAGATTGTTTTTCCCCTTCCTCAACTTCATGTTCATGGAATAATACAGTACGAACTCTTTTGTGTAAGGCTTCTTTCTCTCAGTATAGTATTTTTGAGAATCATCCATGTTGTAGCAGTGATTCATTCAGTAGTTCATTCCTCTTATTGTCGAATAGTGTTCCATTGTGTGAACATGGCACAGTCTGTTCTCCTATTCATCCATCCATCACATTTGAGCACATCCAGCTTCTGATCATTGCAAATAAATCCTCTATGAATATTTCTGTGTCTAGAAGTTTTCATTTCCTTTAAATATATACCTAGGAGAGGAATTTCTGGGACATAGGCAAGTATTTGTTTAATATACGAAACATCCACAGTTTTCTCAAGCAGTTGTACCAGTTACACCCACAGGGCATGCCATCTTCCCCAGGTGGGACAGGCCAAGATGGATGTGAACAAAGATAATGTTTTAAATGTCATCAGGATTAGGTAGTAATGTAGTATCCAATGGCCGGTGTACAAACCTTACTAGTAACAGCTCCCAATTGGGCAACGGGTAGCCCCTGAAGGTGCCTTCTGATACCCATTCTCCATTCTCAGCACTAGGCTTTAAAATGTCCCCTCCACTCCAGACTCTGTCAAGTTTCACCCCTTAGGTTACTAGCTAACTGTTAGAACTGTAAATTCATTCACACTTACATACAAATAGTTTCCAGGCCTCACTACATTTAACACCCCCAGAATATCTAAGTTTTAAAAACAAAGCTTAGCAGAAAGGAACAACAACAACAAAAAGGAATTAAGATTTGCTACGTACACATACCAACTCCCCATGATAGATGTAATCATTACATACTGTAAACATGTACTAATTTTTAAAAATAAATGCCAAAAAAAGCAAAGCTTAGGGCCAGGGATTTAGGTCAGTGGTTTTGCTGCTTGCCCTACAAGCACAAGGTCCCGAGTTCGATCCCCAGTACCAAAAAAAAGCAAAGCTTAATTATGTAAATGAATTAATCACTAATAGTAGACTTGATAGGAATGAGGAGGTATCATTTTAGTGCACTTCAAAAATGATGAGAACTGAAAAATGACACTTGTAGCAAATCAGATGTAAGTTCAGATTCCAATTCTTATTATGGAAAAGCAAATATTTGGCTGGGCACAGTAGCCCTCATTTGTAATCCCAACACTCAGAAAGCCAAGTAAGGATTGCAAGTACAAGGCCAGCATGGGCTAAATAGCAAGTGCAAGGCCAGTTTAGAATATGTAGTGAGATCTTGTCTCCTGTCTCAAAAAAAAAGTAAATTCTTTCAAAGTCTATGTTCTAGTTCACTAGCTGGAGCCAACAATATGTGTATTTTATCACAATTTGTTCAGTCGTTAGTAACTGTCTTAAGTGGAAATAATTTTTAAGGGACAATTATAGCCTCATTCAGGGTTTATAAGAGGGGAGGGCATACTGTGGGCAGTCAGTAGATATTTGTTGACTGGTACCTGAACATGTTAGGGATTTATAAACTGTAGAGTGCTATGAGTGTCCCGGATCTAACAATACCCGTCTTTACTACTCTGCCCATGAGGAAAGTCAACCCTCCTTCCTCCACTGGACAGAACTGACGTTGAGGAGACAGGACAGGGTGAGCTAGAAGGAATCAACTCAGGGTAAATTCATTGGAATACTTGTTTACAGAGTAGATTCCCAGACCACACGTAAAGAACCGGAATCTCAGGCCCCACCAAGGTCACGGAGCCCTGACTTGGGAGGTGGGCGACAATGGCGGAACCCCACAGCGGTCTTGGTGTTGAGAATATTGTACTAGGATGTTCTAGGAAAAGCCATTGATTCCTTTAGATTCCTTCCTAGGCCGTGAAGTTGCCCTTTTGTGGCTGGAAAATTGGAATCTTGCCGTTCCTTCCACACGTTTCACCCCTTAGATTGGAATCTTGCCGTTCCTTCCACACGTTTCACCCCTTAGATTGAGGTTAGCAAGTTGTTTCTCTCTTTTCCATTAAAAAAGAACAGTGTTCATCCTCCATAAGAGGACGCCAAGTCAATCTGCCCTTTTGGAAAGTCAAGAGACTGAGGACAGAGTTAGGCACCCATTTTCTAACCCGGAGGGGCTCGGCCTCACCTTGCGTCTCCGTGGCCACCTTGTCGTCGATGGTGGCCCACACAGACCGGGGTTTCTTGCGCCGGCTCTGCTCTCCCCGCCTCCTTGTGCCCTCATCCTCCGCCCTGGCGGCGTCCGCGGGCGCAGCCCCTTTTGGCACCGAGTCTTCCAGGTGCCCAGCACGAAGGCGGAGCCGCGCTGCAGCCGCCTCCGCGGCGCCACGGAGGAGACCCCCCGGGATTCGGCGGCCCCAGCGCTCAGGCTCGGCGTCCCAGGCCGCCATCGGCTCTCCGCTGTCCTCCCTCCCCGCACGACGGGTGCGAAGCCTGCGCCCAGAGAGCAACGCGCAGCGCGGCGAGCGGCTCCAAGGGGCGCGCCTGTGCAGCGGCCCCGGCAGCCCTGAGCGCAGCCGGCGCCCTCATCCGAGCCTGCGAACGCCCTGACCATGATCGCCGAGGGAGCCGGCCCGTACGCCCCGGCGCGCCGCCGACTGTGCGCGCTCTGGGCAGCCGCGCTGCTTCTGCTCGGGCTGCAGTGCCAGTCCAAGCGAGCGGAGGGTGAGTGCGCGGGAGGCTGGGGGCCGGGGTGGGAGCGGGGGCCGCGGGGATGGCGGACGAGGCCACCGGCAAGCCGTGGAGGAAGGAGGCGAGCGGCCGCCTGGGGCACAGCGTTCCCCTCCAGCCCGCGGGCGCATAGCGCCCCTCGCCGTCCTGGACGCTGGGATCCTCCCTGCTTCGCCCGGGGCGCGCGCTGGTCCTGTGGCTCCGGCTCCGCTGGTGCCGTTTCCAGGGCTCCAGGAAAATTCTTCGGGCCGAAATCACGTCTAGGGTGCCCTGGAACCTCCTCCTTTGGGATTAATTTTCCACATCCCGCAATTTCTCAGTGTCTATTAAAAGTGTACCTGACGACGAGGCCGGTTATTAGAAAACGCCCTCGGATACTTTGGTTTGGTCCAAGAAGATCTGAAAGATGAGTGGGAATCCCCCAGGTAAAGGGGAGAGGAGGGAACTGGATAGAAGGAGTAGCCGAGCAGCAAGAAGAATGGGACGAATGATTTTTTAAAATGGGGTGCTGGGGCGGGGTGAGACTAGCTAGAGCAATAGTAAGTGGGAGCCAGACTGTAGCAGATTCCCTGAGAATTGACCCACTTTGGGTTTGTCTGTCTTTTGAACTTGAATTCAGCTTTTAATATTTCCCTTAAATTAGCGGGATCAGACCTTGTATCAGTTCCATTTTGAAAAGCTAATTCAGCTGTGTTTTGATGTTGGAACAAAACCCCTCTGAACTTGGCTCAGGAGACTCTGAAGAAAGGAAATTTAAAAGCTAGCATCCTCACACCCATAAGGGGTTTCTAGTAAGCCCACACTTAGGATAATGTAGATTGATAGAGGAGAAAAGCCCTCAGCTGATTTAGGATGGATGCTTTGGGTATTTTAAAATGTCATACTTATCTAGCAAAGCATAATGGGTGAAACAAAAAGACAGGGCAAAAAGAAGTGTGGTGGTTAAAGAAAAGGGAAAAGTCAAGAGAAAAAATACACACTACAGACTGTCTTGAATTTTTATGCTCTTTGGTGTTAAGTCCATGCTGGAAAAGCTCTTTCTGATTAAAGATGACTGTCATTGCTTCAGATCTTCAGAGTTAGACAAAACATTTATAACTTTCAAAGCAATTACTGACCACTGTTAATTTTTTTAATTGAGATACGTCACATAAAATTTACTGTTTTATTTATTGTTTAAAATTAATTTTATTGGTACATTTTAGGTATACAATATAATGACATTCATCATTGGAAATTTGCACCTTTACATAATCAATCTTGGTTCTTATTTTTTCCCCATTCCCCTGCCCTCCCTTCAACCCCTCCATCCCTCCCTATTTACAGACTTTGTTTCCATTTTTTCATTTTCTCATATTAGTTCTATTCCCTTCTTTCCTTTCCCCTACCCCTTCCCCTTTGTCCCTTTTCTTCCTATTTCACATTATTGATTATAACTTTTAGTCCTTATTTACACTTTCAGTTTCTCACACTGGAGAAACTATTTGGTATTGACACATGTGTGTCCTATTTATTTCACTTAAGAGTATCACTTCATACATAATGAAGATGGCTGGGACTTGAGCCAATGGCTAATTAATGGTTGCCCAACCTACAATGGTTAAAACAACTTTTTCTGGTCATTACAGTTGTGTGTATATGCTTACTGTTGTCATGCTGTTGTATACAATGGATGCCTACGTTTATAAGTAAGATTACTTAAGTTGTAAAATCAGTGGGGAATGTAGGACTGCATAACTCTGTAATCATAAAACTCCCCTAGCCCCAACTGTGATTGAATGTGAGTAAATAGATAAAGATGCTTCTTAGTTCCAGGACACTAGATAAGATCCGTATCAGCCATAATTATCCAACTCTTTGTTCCAGACACCACTATCTATAGAACAATCTACAAAGCACCTGTTGACTATCAGTACACGTCAGGCTAATTAACATGCAAATGTAAGACCACTAACCTTTGTTCCCTCTTCTGTAAATTTCGCCTGTTAACTTCCCTGCTACCGCCTATAAAAAGAGCCTCGGACTCTGGGCTCATCGCCTCTCTAAGCTACTTTGCTTTGGGAGTGCTGTCTGGCCAGAGTAAGGTCTGTTTCACTTTCAAAAAAAAAAAAAAAAAGAGTATCACCTCAATGTGCATCCATTTAGCTATAAATGTCTCTAGTTTCTCTTTTTTATGGCTGAGTAGTACTCTGTTTTATTAAAAAACCCCACATTTTCTTTATCCAGTCTCCAGTTGATGGGCATTTGGGCTGTTCCCAAGTTTTAGCTATTACAAACTGTGCTACTATAAACATGGGTGCACATGTATCACTGTGGTATGATACTAATTCTTTGGGGAAGATACCCAGCAGGGGAATAGCCGGGTCGAATGGGACCTCTAGTCCTCATTCTTTGAGGTATCTCCATACTGATTTCCACAGTGGTTGCACCAGTCTACACTCCCACCAGCAGTGGAGCAGGGTTCCT